TCCTAATTTCACCATCATATTTGAGGGACAATTTTGCTGGGTACATAATTCTTGGTTGGAAATTTTTCTCTTTCAGGGTTTTATATATATCATCCCACTGTCTTCTTGCCTGCATGGTTTCTCTCGAGAAATCCAAGCTTCATCTTATTGGTTGCCCCTTGTAGGTAATTTTAGTTTTTCCCGTGCTGCTCTCATGATTCTTTCTTTGTCTTTGGTTTTGGTAAGTTTGATGTGATGATGATATGTCTGGCTGATTTTCTTTTGGGGTCTATTCTGTTTGGGGTTCATTGGACTTCCTGAATGGATATATTCTCATCTTTCATTATACCAGGAAAATTCTCTTCCAACAAATCTTTGACAATTTTCTCTGTGGTTTTATTTGTGTCTTCCTGTTTTGGAATTCTGATTACACGTAGGTTATTCCTTTTGATGGTATCCCACATGAACCTTAGGCTTTCTTCATTTTGTTTTGATCTTTTTTCTGACTTATTCCTTTCCAAAGAAGTGTTCAGGTATTTGCCTTCACTCTCCCTAATTCTGTCTTCCATTGATTCAATTCTGCTCCTTTCTCCACTCAATGTCTTATCTATTTCTGAAAATTTAGTATTAATCTTTTGGATTTCTCTGTGTAGATTTTGTATCATTTCTAATTTTTCATTTATTTTGTCATTTTGTTCTTGTATTGTCTTTTGAAATTGTTCTAGGTTTTTCTCTTATGTTTTCCTTGATCTGTCTCTCAATTTGTTGAAGACACCTAAATATAATTCTTTTGAATTCTTTTTCAGGGAGTTCCAATGCTGCATCTTCCTCAGGGATGTGTTCTGGGTCCACATCCTGGTCCCCTGTTTCTCCTGCTTTATTTTTCTTCTTTGTGTACACTGTGATGGTCTGTTGTCTTCGAGGCATAGTGACGTTTTTGTGTTTATATTTAATTGTTGATTGTATGTTGGAGTGACTTGCCCATGACTTTTGTTTTCCTTGTATGTTATCTACGCAAGCAGGGTACTGTGCTGTGCTCCTCTATTTGCTAGTGGGCAGCACCTATACACTCACTACCTGTTTCCTTTCCTGTTGTCAGCCCCTCGTATGCCCCTGCTGACCTTGGCAAACAGAGCCTATTCTTAGGTCCCTGGAATCTGAATGAGAATGCTATCACTTTAATATCCAAATTGGCTGCCACTTGTATACATTCAAAATGGCTGCTCCCCTGGTCACTTTAAATATCCAAAATGGCTGCCACTTGTCAACTTTCAAAATGGCTGTGCCCTCGGTCACTTTAAATATCCAAAATGGCTGCCGCATGTAAACAATCAAAACAGCTACGCCCTCTGGACAGCAGAAAGTCAACAGCTCAGGTTGTCTCCCACCTTGCTGTTTCTCTTCTTAGTCATAGACCACCAGCACAGTCATCTCTGCAGCCCTTGGTGACCAGGGCTGATCTTTAGGTCAATTCTCAGGTCCTAACACCACTTGGAAATATTCAGGCTGTTGGTCCCATTGGAGTAACAGTCCACAGGTCTGACCTGTCTCTGTACTCACTGTTTTCGTTCAGGTTTTTTCACTAGTTGGTGCCTAATCCACTTCTGTATAGTTCCTTTCAAAGCTCAGGGCTCCAGGATTATCATCTATATCTCTATCAACTGGTTTTTCTTTTCTTTATCGAAGAGGGTCTGTGTTGCTTGTCTGCCTATTCTTCCATCTTACCAGAAGTCCTTGCTTGCAAGCTTTTAAGATTGCAGTTGCTACTCGCCAAAGTAGAAGGTGGAACAATGTTTTGTATAGTATGTTATGCCAATTGAGCTTGATATTCCCTGCAACTATGGTCCCGAGCCCACAGGTTCAACTACTCAGTCCCTCTGGGTAGCTGGCTGTGACCAAGAAGTGACTACAACCTTGTCCCTTGTCGGCGCTACTATACACCTGGGAATTCTTACAGACCATACAAATACATTTGTAGAATCATTGTTATTACATTGTCATTGTCGTAACATTCTTAATATAATCATCAACTAGTTGAAAATGGTGTATTTATTGGCTCTAGACATTAGTGCACTGGAATGTATAGGCCCAAATTTGAAAAGCAAATCTTAGCAATTCTCTTGTAAATAATGTGACCCCACAAGAGCTGAATGATTCTTATAAGACTATTGTTATGCAGGTTATAGATGTTAAAGCAGCTTTTATTTTTATTCTTATAAATGAGGTACTCAAACCTACGGGGGCATGTAGTAAGGCATCCAAAATTAAGGTATCTCTCTTACTGGAAATTCCCCAATGTGTATAATGCTACTGAAACCACCTCAAGGAAAAATAGATACCTCAACAGCCAAAAAGACATTTGTTACTCATAAGGCAAGCCTACGAAGACTACTCCTTGAGCAGTATAACCCTTTGGAGCTTGGTAACTTAATGCATGCTAACATAACTTGGTAAAAATTCATGCCGAAGATCAGACATTCACATTAATAAATTAAGGTAGCTTGTAAAATTTGGCTATTAATTATAGGATGTCATTCAACTAACAATGGGATGTTTGATAGCAATAAACAAATTATTCTCGCACTTTAATATGACCTAACATGATTGAATCTTTACTATGTGCAAGACAAAGTATTAACTGTTTTACACACATTACCTTGTCTAATCCTCACAATCACCCTATTTCTTCTGAAGTAATGATCTCCATAATACACATAAGGAGCCTAAGGCTCAGAGAGGTTAAGTCACAAGTGGAGCCAGGATTTCAAACCAACACAGTCTGACTATTAGCACTTGCTCTTATGTTATATACCTTCCAACCTTACCACTGTTTCTGTGAAAAAAGCAATATAGTCAATAAATTTAATAAATGGGATAATGTGAATGAATTAACTAATAGTGAATGGTTGGCCATTCATCTATCCTCCAACCTTCTGAACAATTTTAGCTTGTTCTGTGGAGTCAGCCTCAATAAAAGGAAGTTGAGTGGGGAAGTAGGAAGTAGGGCAGAGTTACCAGGAAACAAGTGAAGAGAACAAACGTCTCCTACCTCCCCCTTTGAAACAGTTTAAAGTACTGATTATCATGTACACTATTAATAACAGTGTTTTTCCTCTGAGGCAATGGCTTCCTAATTTCTTTTTGGATCCTAGACTCCTTTCAGAATGTGAGGAGAAAACAAAAGCCCCTTCCAGGAGAAATGCACATTGTATCACATTTACATGAAGACCAAAAAATATCTTTAGGAATTCATGGACTTTCTAAAATCTATCCACAGGCAAATGGATTCCAAATTAAGAACCCCCGCTATAATGATCTCAAGGCACCTAATACAGTATAAAACCAAAAAAAGTTGCCATCTAGTTGATTCCCCATGGTAACACCATGTGTATCAGACTAGAACTATGCTCCATAGGGCTTTCAATGGTTGATTTTTGGAAGTAGATTGCCAGGCCTTTCATCCAAGGCACTTCTGGGTGGACCTAAACTGCCAATCTTTCAGTTAACAGCCAAGCACATTAACCATTTGCACTGCCCAGGGACTTTAATATCATATAAGAACTAAACTTTGGGGCAAAAGCATATGGAAATAATAATAACAGTAGCTACTATTTATGGAGGAGTTCTGGTGGTGTAGTGCCTAACGCATTTGACTGCTAACCAGAAGGCTGGTGGTTCAAACCCACCAGCCACTCCTTGGAAGGAACACTGGGCAATCTAGTTCCATAGAGATACCGCCTTGGAAACCCAAGGAGGGGTCGCTATGAGTCGGATTTGACTCAACAGCAGTGAGTTTGGTTTTTGGTTTATTTATGGAGCACCTATGTGCCAGGCATTTTGCTAAGTGCTTCGCGTATACATGAAGCACCTGCTATGTGTTGCAGCTCTGGTGGTGTAGTGCCTAAGGCTTTGACTGCTAACCAGCAGATTGCCAGTTCAAACTCACCACTGGCTCTGTGGACAGAAGATAGGGCAATCAATCTACTTCTGTAAAGATTTACCACCTTGGAAAGCCAAGAGGGGTCACTATGAGTCAGAATCGACTTGATGGCAGTGGTTTTTTTCTTTTCCCCCTGTGTGCCAGGCATTGTGCTAAGTGTTTTATATATATTACCTCACATAGTTTTTAACCTACAACATAACTCCCTTTATTCCAAAGAGAAAATTGAGGTTGTATGAGTTTAAATTACTTGCCCAAAGTCAAACATGGAGGAAATTGAACTCAGGTTGACTCTACCACATCATGCTTCCTTTAAGGTAAAGAGTGAATCAGTACCCGGTCAAGGATTTAAATTTACTGTCAAAACAAACAGAGAACAAGTCCTGGAGCCATTCACCTGTATGATTTATGAAGTTCCATAACCTTTTCTTCAAGTTCCTTGGTCTGATTTGGAGCCAATTTAAAATCACTAACATAATCCACACCATGGAGTTCCGGGTCGTAGTCTCCCAGCTCAGACTGGATGGTGTAAGAACCCAACAATGCTAAGGTTGCAAAGGAACAGGGCAGACGTCCTGAAACTATGTCCTGCCGAAGCTGAAGACACAAATAATATCTACAGCCAAAAGAGAAAAGATGTTACCATGTCAGCAACAACAATAACAACATACGTAAGAGAAAAATGAAAGGGGTGAGAGAGAAGGAAGTAGAGGGGAAGAAGAAAGAGAGAGAGAGATTTTTTTATAAAAGGTATTAAGTAAAGATGACAAAATATTAATAACTGTTTAATCTAGGTAGAGGGTATATGGGTATTTATTGTACTAGTATTTCTTTTTATATGTGTGAATTTTTTCCATATAAAAAGTTAAAAAAAAAAAAACTACTAACCATGTTGGACTCCGTATCAAAAAAGCAATTTAGAAAGAAAATAGGAAAACTTGAGAAAAGTCTGAAAGAGGTAAATAAATGAACATTTTAATAATTAGTATATGAAGTACCATATACACATAAATTATCTCATCTAATCTTCACAAAGGAGCTCTGGTAGCATAGTGCCTAAGGCACTTGACTGCTAACCAGAAGGCTGGCGGTTCAAACCCACCAGCCACTCCTCGGAAGTAAGGTTGGGCAATCCTACTTCTGTAGTGATGCTGCCTCGGAAACCCAAGGAGGGGTCGCTATGAGTCAGGGCTGACTCGACGGCACATAACAACAACAACAATCTTCACAAAAAACTTGTGAGGTAGGTATCACTGTCAGATAACAGATGAGGAGGCAGCCGCAGAGGCTTAGCTTGCTCAATATCAGGTAGTAATAAAAGCTGCCTGGCTCCAGAACCGGGCTCTTTCTTTTCTATCACACTGCTTTACCAAATGTGCAGATATCATCTTTTATATATAAAATGACACTACTGACTCATATTCACTGGATATGGATATTTGGGGTATTTTTTTCCCCCATGATGGGCTAAGTTGCATGCAGCCTTCCACATAATCATCAGCCACTTTGTAACCTAATTCCACCTATGTGCTAAACTGTTCAGACTGGGGTTAGAACAGCTCAGTTCAATGAACATCAACAAAATGCCCCAACTGTGTACTAGACAAGGAGCTCTGGTGGCATAGTGCCTAAGGCATCTGACTGCTAACCATAAGGTTGGCAGGTCAAACCCACTAGCTGCTCAGTGGAAGAAAGATGGGGCAATCTACTTCCGTAAAGATTTACCATCTCAGAAACCCAATGGGGGTCACTATGAGTCGGAATTGACTCAATGACAGTGAGTTTGGTTTGGATTTTGGTGTACTAGTCATACCTATGCCTTCTTAGTATTTGTTCTAAGACTGAGTTGACCAGTTTGGACTGCTTTACCGAACAGGAAAAGTGGGAGGTATGATTAAATTGACGATAGCTCTATTAATTAGAATAATATCCTGCTTTGAGGATGATAAGATGTTGAATAATATATACATTAACAATAGTTTTTGCTATCTATAATTAGTTACTACATATATATATCTTTTTTTTCAAAGAGTAATGCCATTCAAGTCTCAAGTATCTTAAACTCCTCTAAAATATAAGTTACGTCCAAAACTTTTTAAGGATTTGTTTTGTTTTATACATAATAAACCTGGGTGAAGAAAGAAGAGTATAAAATAACACCGAGACAAATATTACCTGTGAAAAAGAAATAACCAAAAGAATTTTTTCAGGCAGAGATATGGCATCTCAACTTCAAGAATATATTAAGGATGACCAGACATGAGTAATAATTTTAAAAAATTATAGACTTTCACAGAACTTAACAGTTAGACTTTTTAAGAGTTTACTTAGTCAACTCCCTTATTTTAGAGATATGGAAACTGAGGCCCAGAGATTACACATTTGCCCCAAATCAGGAAAGCAAGTTTCTGGCAACTAACAATTCAATTTAACAAACATTTATTTTCCAGGCACCCACTATGTGTAAGGCTTCATACAAGATGATATAGATATGGATACAAATATGTACAGTAGAATTTTTTCTAATACACTGTTTTTAATTTTCTTTTTGTTAAATTTTTACAGAATTTTATAGTGGCCAATAAAGGTCACTTTCTGAAAAACAAAAACAAAAAACCAGCAGATTTTTTTCTTAAAAGAGTACAAGATGCAATTCATAAATTAAGTGAACTAAAAACTACCAAGTGAGGAAGATTCAGCTCTTGAGGATCTAATTATACATTTTAAACAGAAGACAGGAAGAAATTAGTGCAATACATAGCAGTTTTAGCTGTCTTGCTCTCTATTTGAAGCTTCTAGCCTAAGGGAAAAAGAGTATTCAAAACCAAGCAGTTGGAGGTATTTTACCACTGTATTTGTGCTTAGCATAAAACCCAAGATAAGCAGAGCTAATTCCCATGCCAGTTTCTTCCAGGAAGTCACAGATACCTGAGGCTTTTTGGCTCATTATTTTGCAAGCCTGCCTTAAAATGACCAGAAACTTTCTATCTTGGGTTAACTATTTGATTAGCTTGTCTTCTCCGCCCCCCCCCCTCAATTCTAAATAGGGAAATTCCTAGAGTTTATTATGATGAGAATTACTTTTTACATATACAGCTATTAATTAATTATTTACCTTGTTATATCTTCTGTTAACTGTGCTGGGTCAGGTGGATAAAATTTTACATTAAATGTGAAATTCCAAGGGACACCTGTAAAAATAAACACCAAAGAATTTTATCCTTAATATGTAACTTTCTGATTATTAGAAGTACCTCAAAGTTTTTTTAAGAAAACTTTTCTGAAATCTTTTAACATTTTGGGAGTAAAACATTACTTTTACTTAAAAATAAAAAGAAGAAAGTTACTTAGATAACACTTCAAGAGGATCTCTCTCATTCTTTTACCTGATCTAGTACAAGAGTTTTGCTTACAGAAGATTAAAACTATATAGGCAATACAACATGAAAGAACCATCCTACCGATAACATATTTGTAGCAGTGGTTTTCAAAACGTGATTTATAGACACTTTACTTCCTCAAAGGTCATCCACAGATGTTCTCTTTTGGTTTTGGCATTATTTATTTGTGATACCTCTCAGTATTATCTCAAATCAATAAAATCATTCTTTCCATTAATAAGGGTGAGATTTGGAGATTATTTTAGAAATAAGGAGGCAAGATAGATGGGTCACAGAAACTATACCTCTAGTAAAAATATTTTAGATATGAAAACCATGAGTTTGATCCAGAGACCCATACAATCATATTTCTGATCAACAATGAAAATCAGATTGTGAGTAAAAGTTAAACGAAGAATACATTTTAATTTTCCCAGCTGAATACTATCCCTCAGGGTTTTTCTGTCATGTAAATTATATGACTGTTCACTTCTCAAAGAGTAATGTCTAATCAGCTAGAAATAAGTTATAATTGCATCTGATATTAAGAGGTGCCAATCTGTTCAGTACTTATAGGTATGCCAGGCACTATGCTGGGCCTCTTACTCATTTAATCTTCATTGCAACATAAGAGGTACTACTATTAATTCATTTTATATATGAAACAGGCTTAGGAAAGTATATACCTAGTGAATCCAAGGTTCTCTTATCCAAACCCCATGCTTTTCACCACTTAACTCTACCATCCTAATACAAATATTTATGAGCATTAAAGTTTGTGTCAAACATCTGTTTGTGTCTTGTGTCCAGAGTTTCATCACCAAATACTAATTAATATTACTGCTAATAGTTCACAACACACACACACAAAAACCTCACCGCTGTCCAGTCAGTTCTGACTCATAGTGACTCCTCCTTGGGTTTCTGAGGTGGTATCACTACAGAAGTAGCTTGCCCAACCTTCCTTCCAAGGAGTGGCTGACAAGTTTGAACCACCAGCCTTCTGGTTAGCAGTCAGATGCCTTAGGCACTACACTACCAGAACTCCAATAGTTCACAATGGTAATATACAAATTATCATTCAAGTAGTTTGAATGTCTTAATAAGTAGGTAGTTTTTTTTTTTTTTTTTAAATAATATTATATTGTGTTTTTGGTGAAAGTTTATACAGAAAATTAGTTTCTTATTGAACAATTTTTATACATATTATTTAGTAATATTTTTACATTTTCCAAAATGTAACAATATTCTCATTATTTCCATTCTGGTTATTGTTTCATTTTCATTACTCTAGCTTTCCAGCTGCTCCCTCCCCCTTTTACCTTCACATCTTTACTTTAGGGTGAATGCTGACTAGGTGGTCACATATAGATTAATTTTTAATAGAGCTCAGTACTCACTGGTAATATTTCTTATTTTATGATTTAATCTGTTATTTAGCTGCAAGGTGATCTCTAGGAGTGGTTTCAGTTCTAAGCTTAAAGGGTATCTCAGGGTGACAGTCTTGGGGGTTCTTCTAATCTCTACCAGTCTAATAAGTCTAACCTTTTTTAAGAATTTGAGTTTTGTTCTACATTTTTCTCCTGTTCCATCTGGGATAATCTATTATGCTCTGATCAGACTGGTCAGTAGTGGTAGCCTGTGGTACCATCTAGTTCTTCTGGTCTCAGAATAAATAAGGACGTGGTTGTGTGGGCTATCAGTCCTGTAGAGGTAGTTTCTTCTTCGAATCTTTGGTTTCCTTCTTTCTCTTTTGCTCCCAGATGAGTAGAGACTAATAGATATATCTTAGATGGTCTCTCAAGCTTTTGAGATATCAAATGCTACTCATCAAATTAGGATGCAGAACATAAGCTTTATAAACTATGTTATGCCAGTTCACAGAGTTGTCCCATGAGACTATAATTCTAAGACTTCAAACCCAATAAATCAATCCTGTGAGGTGTCTGGTTATGTCTAGGAAGTATCCATAACTGTGGTGGTTGTCAAGTTCCCCCTTTCTGCCTCTGGCATGGCTCATTTTAAGCCTAGTGGAATGGCAAAACTGACCAATCTTCTCATTAGGGTTCCATATACCCTATTTGCATGGTCCCACTCCCACAGGGTTCCATGCAACTTATTTGCATTATTAGCAAACTGTCTGACTTGGTTATTTAATGCTGCTGCAATAGAAATACTACAAGAAGTAAAAATCAACATCTTAAACCAAATCTCCAACAATTAGAAAAAGAGCAGTAAGAAAAAGCCTACAGTAACCAGGAAAAAAAAAAAAAGAAATAATAAAGATTCAAGCAGAAATAAATGAAACAGAAAATAGAAAGACAACAGAAAATATCAACAAAACCAGAAGTTGATTCTTTGAAAAGATTAATAAAATTGACAAACCACTGTCAAATTTCACAAAGGAAAAGAGGGAGAGAATACAGATAACATGAATAAGAAATGAACTGGGCAACACCACAACAGAACCAACAGAAATTAAAAGGATAATATCAAGATACTATGAAGACATGAGACAAGTATATGTGACCTGCTGTATGGAAAGTGAATTTGCTCTGTAAATCTTCACCCAAATCAAAAAAAAAGAAAAAGATACTATGAAGAACTATATACCAACAAATTCGAAAATCTAGAGGAAACGGACAGACTTCTAGAAACATACTACTTATCTGAACTAACAGAGGCTGAGGTAGAAAATTTAAACAGACCCATAACAAAAGAAGAAATGGAACAGGTCATAAAAAATTACCAACTAAAACAGGCCCCCAGAAGATTTCACTGGAGAATTCTACTAAATATTCAGAGAACTGACACCAATCCTACTGGAACTATTCCAGAACACATAAAAGGATGGAATCCTTTCAAATTCATTTTATGAAGTAAGCATAACCTTGACATCAAAACCAGACAAAGACATCACCAAAAAGGAAAACTATAGACCAATATCCCTCATGAATATACATGTAAAAATCTTCAACAAAATCCTAGCCAACAGACTCCAACAACATAGCAAAAAAATAATATGTTATGACCAAGTGGGGTTCATACCAGGTATGCAAGGATGAGTCAACATTAGAAAAACAATCAACATCATCCATCACATAAATAAAACAAAGGAAAAGAACCACATGATCATATCAATCGATGCAGAAAAGCCATTTGATAAAATCCAACACCAATTCCTGATAAAAAAAACTCTCAGCAAAATAGGAATAGAAGGGCAACATAATCAAGGGCATATATACAAAACCCACAGCCAACATTATTCTCAATAGAGAGAGACTGAAACCATTCCCCTTGTGAACAGGAATCAGATAAGGATGTCCTCTATCACCACTTCTATTCAACATTGTATTGGAAGTACCAGCCAGGGCAATAAGGCAAGAAAGGGAAATCAAAGGCATCCAAATTGGTAAGGAAGAAGTAAAACTATCCCTATTTGCTGATGATATGATCCTATGCATAGAAAACCCAAGAGACTCAGCAAAAAAACTACTGGAACTAATTGAGAGATTTAGCATAGTGATGGGATATAAGATCAACATACAAAAATCAGTTGAATTCCTCTACACCAGCAAAGAGATTGCTGAAAAGGAAATAAGGAAATCTATACTATTTACAATAGCTACCAAAAAAATAAAATACTTGGGAATAAATTTCACTAGGGACACAAAAGACCTGTACAAAGAAAACTACAAAGCACTACTCCAATAAACCATAAAAGACCTACATAAATGGAAGAACATATCATGTTCATGGATAGGAAGATTGAACACTGTGAAAATGTCACTACTACCCAAAGCAATCTATACATTCAATGCAATCCCAAACAGATCCCATCAGTATTCTTTAAGGATATGGAAAAAAACAATCACCAATTTTACATGGAAAGGAAAGAGACCTCAACTAAGCAAAGCAATATTGAAGAAGAACAACAAAATTGGAGGTCTCAAACTCCTGGATCTCAAAACCTATTATACAGCCACAGTAGTCAAAACTGCCTGGTACTGGTACAATGACAGACACATAGACCAGTGGAACAGAATTGAGATCCCAGAAATAGATCCATTGATCTATGGTCAGATGATTTTTGACAAAGGGCTGAAATCCATTTCATGGGGAAGAGATATCTCTTTAAAAAATGGTGCTGGTAAAACTGGATATCCATTTCAGAAAAATGAAAGAAGATCTGTACCACCTACCACACAAAAAAACTAACTCCAGATGGAACAAAGACTTAAATGTGAAACCTAAAACTATAAAGCTTCTCAAGGAAAAAATAGGAGCAAATTTAGGGGCCAATTTATAGCATAAATGGACTGTCTAGCATAACACAAAATGCACCCACAGCTGAAGATACACTAGATAAATGGGACCTTCTAAAAATTAAATTTTTATGTGCTTCAAAAGACTTCTCCAGAAGAGTGAAAAGGGAACCTACGGATTGGGAAAAAAATGTTCGGCAACAACATATCTGACAAGGGACTTACCTCTAAAATTTATAGAAAACTCCAACATCTCAACAACAAAAGATTAACAAATTCAATTTAAAAATGGGCAGAAGATCACTGAGACTATGGCCCCTAACTGCCCTTCAGGTCTGCAACTGAACCCACACCTGTGGTTTCCAGTCAAACAAAAGACAGGCATATGAGTTGAACATTTACCTCAAGTAGATACTCTCTTTGGAGAGAACAATCATGGGAGAAAGCAGGGCTGCTTGTGCACAGGGAGATAGCTCAGGGGGCAGGAGTCCATGGAGGGATGGACACAGGGAAGAGGTAACTATGGGGAGGAAGTGGGAGGG